GGGGGGAGGGAGAAGTATCACTAGTATAAGGTCTTACTTGTTATCTTCCCACTGCTGATTCCGTCTGTCTATCTCTGTCTTCTTTGTTCTTGTCTCTCATTGCTACGGTTGTGCCAACGTGCTTCTTAATACTCGAGATAAACAAATATTTATGTTATTATATCTCGCATCACCACAGCTTAGGAGCTTCGCTGTCGCAACCAGGACACCCGAGTTAAATTCCTGAGTGGGGAAACATTTCTTATGAGTGTCTCCATCTTTCTGCAGGATAGTTGTATTCCCCTCAGTCTGGGTTGGTCCTGTCAGGCAGGGTCTGAAGCCTGCCTCCTAAACGATCTACATGGTGTCAATGAGGACGTAAAAACACCTATAGTGAGGCCTCTATAACGACATCGTCGTGAAAATGGTGAAATGGTATATGTTTAACGCCCCTATCAACACTATTAGGTTATTTATGGGGCGGAACCTCCTAGTTTAACGTCCGTCTCCGATAGTACCGACGACAACGTCGGGACCAGAAAAAAAAATGAGAGGCAACCAAAAATACTACACATAATTTAAAAAAAAGAAAAAATCGGGACCTGGACACCATGTCGCTATACAGAGGATGTCGTTATCTATATCGAAGGTTGTTATAGAGAGGCTGCTCTGTACTTACAAAACTTGAAAAGTGAAACCATGGATCTTTTTTCCTTTGTTGCTGGTGGTTATAACTGTCAGTCTCTCTGTCTGAACTTTTTACAGCTCTAAATGTCATCTAGGTTTTGGATGTGCTGGACTTTGCTCAAAGCTTTCCAAATCGTTGGTCGCACTGGGCAAAAACTATGAAAGCATAATAATGCATGGCTCTTTTCGTCTATGCAGACGGTCAATCAAATTTAGCTTAAGATGATCTCAAAGTTGTCTTCATGCAGCTTCTTTCATGGCTAATGTAACTCCTCCTATAATAAATATGTGAAATGTCCCCACCCTAGTTGCTCTGAGCATGTATCAAACTGGACTGTTCAACTGGCTCGGTAGTGGTTTGGGGGAGGCACACAACCCCAGACGCACAAGGAAAATTGCCAGATGCTCACTACTTGTTGACTTTACTATTCAACTGGCTCGGTTGTGGTTTTTATATTTATATATTATACAGTACAGGGTTTTACCTCTCTAGCTTCAACAGCACAAAGTCTGCTTCGACTTTCAAGGCACCCCAAAATAGCAGGTCACAAGAGAGTGACAAACATACAAAAGAAGTACACGTAGAGGAAAATGACAATAGTACGGATCAGGGGGGAAAAAAGCAGCAGTTCCCTGTTGTAGATCAGGCACAGTTATGAGCGTGACATGAATCAGCCCATTTACAATTCTACAATGCTTGAACGAGAAATGTCCCCTCTTTGGGAATGGCCTAAAGACACTACAGTCAGAGGCACTGCCCCGGGGGGTAAAAGACACTACAGTCAGTGGCACTGCCCCGGGGGGACATTAGTCAGTGGCACTGCC